GCAAAGAGAAGAGAGCAGCCTATTGTTGTTCTCACCTTCCCCAGAGCAACCAATATAGATTTTTTTTTCATTGACGCATGAAATAAGCTGAATAAGTTTCTTCAGAAATAGGAGCTACACTTCTCTTTTTACCTGTCAAACGGAAAATATTTAGTGAAAGCTTGCCATGAATAGAATTTAAAAAAAAACAAACATGAACCCTCTAATGCGCCTTCTCAACTTGGTTATGTTTTCATCTACATTTTACTTTTGTGAGTTCAGTCAATGATTGAACTGGTCCATCGACTTCAAATTCCATGGAGTATCTTTTCATACATCCCACTATAAACGTCATTGGTTGACAGTGGCACAACCCAAGTACTGAGGGTTAGGAAGCAGGACTCCTCTTGAGTTTTTGACCAGCATTGTCCCATAGGACTTTCTGAGATGATGGGAATATGCTGTAACTATTATCTTTATGTGGCTATTCAGCCCTAAGAAGGTGGCAAGTTCAATTGAGGAACAGAATATTTGCTTTTGTTTTAATTATTTTATAGTCAAATAACCACATGAGAGAAGATAGTGGTTATGGTATCATAATATAGGCCAACTTTAGAACCGTGAGTTTATGACCCTGAGTAGTTCAGGTCTACATTGATGGGTAGCATTAACATTGGCTGCTCTGGGTAATGTTCAGAGGTTTCTCTGGGTGATTCTAAATGAGGGGGCAATGGCTCCCTATCAAAGAGACAGGTAAAAATTTGCTAGGACATTTTTGGTTGTAACAACTGGAGAATCCTCCTGGCATTAGAGGGTGGGGCCCAGAGGTGATTAAAGGTCTGAAATATATAGGACACTCTGCTGATGAATTATTGTCCACCTCAAATGCCAGTGGCAACCAATTTGACAAACCCAAATAGATTAGTAGAGTCCTCTAAATACAGATATTCCTTAAAATAACGTTGGAGTTACATCACAATAAACCTATCAGACATTGAAAATATCATGTGAAAAATGCATTTAATATACCTAACCTGCTGATTATCAGAGTTCTTAACATAACCTACCTTAACTGACCTCAGAATTACTTAGATCATCAGGCATAATCCCACCTTAAGTCAAGGAGCAGCTGTAATTGCCTTCCTCTTTCTTCTCACCAGAAGCAAGAGACACATTGGGCATTTTGTAAACATGATGAGATGAAAAACACAAAGCATGCTATCCAAAAATACTGGCAATACAGTCTTACACTGTAGAGTATTGGTTGTTTACCTTCAGAATCATGTGGCTGACTGGGAGATGAGGGTCACCACTACTGCCCAGAATCTCCAGAAAGTATCTTACTGCAGAAGGAAAAAATTCAAACTTCAAAGTACAGTGTCTCCTGAAAACCTATAGCTTTTGCACCATCAGAAAGTTGAAAAATCCAACGACCAACCGTTGAAAGTCAGGAACCATCTGTATTGTGGTTTCATTTGTGAGGTCTCCTGTGGTCTCCGTCCTATCTGTGGGTAATACTGCCTCTTGTGATCCCATCTTGTTTTCTTTTGCCTCCTCAGGGACCTCACTTTCTAATTATGCTCATTTTGTCTTGTATCTCCAACCACTTTTTCTCTATATCTACCACATTCTAGTCCAGTGGTCGGCAAACTCATTTTCAACAGAGCCAAATATCAACAGTACAACGATTGACATTTCTTTTGAGAGCCAAATTTTTTAAACTTAAACTTTTTCTAACGCCACCGCTTCAAAATAGACTTGCCCAGGCCATGGTATTTTGTGGAAGAGCCACACTCAAGGGGCCAAAGGGCTGCATGTGGCTCGCAAGCCGCAGTTTGCCGACCACTGTTCTAATCTATCCTATCTCAAATAATGTCTTTTCTTAATTCCAGATACTCAAGCTGGGACCATCTCTGCCCTCTGTCCCCTGCCAATCGCAGAACAGAACATTTATTCACCTAGCTATCCGGGGAAATGACTCTATTGTTGTTGTTGTTAATCCTCACCAGAGGATATTTTTTCCATTGACTTTTTAAGAGAGGGAGGAAGGGAGAGAGAGAGACGCATTGATTGGTGCCTCCTGTACACTCACCCTGATCAAGGTGGGGAATGAACCTGCAACCCAGGTACGTGCCCTTGACTGGAAATTGAACGCAGGACCCTTCTGTGAGCAGGCTAACTCTTTTGCCACTGAGAAAAGCCAGCCAGGGGTAGGAAATTACTTTTTGTATCGTGATGAAAAGAAAGCACACCATATATAGTTTCAAAAGACACAATTTTTATTACATAGACATATCAATAGAGTCATCATACCATGTTCTACTTTTAAACAATTGTATATATTTGTGTGTAGGTGTGTACACATACACACACATATATGGTCAAAAAATTTCAAGATGAGTCCACTTTTAATCTTCTATGCTTATAACTGTACCTTTTGTAGCTAGTCTCTACACCACCACACTAATTTCACATACTTTTTTCTATTTTAGGATCCCATTACTTTTTCCCCAAGGAAGGCTCATACTAAACTGTAATGCCATCACTTAAAAATGCTCTAGTTCATAGTTCATTATTTTGTGAAAATTAAATGTTCAAGTACAGCAACAATGTCTCCCTAATCTCCCCTATCTATCTCAAAAAGTATTACTATACATCCCAAATATATCACTCTAAGTAACTGAGCCTGAAAATGGTGGGTTAAAATAACTTATATTTAAAGATATAGCTCTATTTGGTTAAATACACCGTAGACTATTTGGAAAATTGTGATGATTGTGTTTCTCCTTAATTCTATGTCAAAGCAGTGGGATGCTTACTTTTGTCCTTTAAGTGTGATTTCATAAATTATTTCAAAGGCAATAAAAGATCTTTCTGATGTATTATAACTGTGTATTATGCAAACATGTCTATGAGGAAATGTAACCTGAAGTTAGAGTTGGTGATTATTTTTTCAGTGCATCCTTGGATAAATTCAGTAGGACCACATATACACAAAATATCTGCATTGTATAGTTTAGAACTTTCCAGAAATGAAGATCATGCCTGCTTGTGGCATCCAATGAACAGTGCTAATCTTGATTCACCATGTGAGGTTGCATTTATGGCAACTTCTATAATCTACTGGATAATGAAGTTATCCAAATGAGTTGGGAGAGTTCAAAAACTATACTACACAGCCATGGTCCAGTTATTTCTTTTGACTGGATACAGCCAGAAATTTTTAATGAGCTGATTTAAATATGGTAGGTGATGGCTAGGTTGCTCTAAAACTAAAAGACCCTCAGATTTCCATTAGCGGGAATTATTATTTCTTAGCACAATTAATACCCATATTTTGCTTCTAAGTTATAATATGTTCTCATACTAGATATTAAAGGTGTTACTTTACCTAAGGTTCAGTAGGCAAGTCATAAAAAATCAGTTGAAAATGTATTAGCTTTGGGGAAAAATAAAAGTATGCAATACAGTGAGAGTTATATATTTTAAAATATGAGTTCTTTATCTGCTGCCAGAGGCTATGTTCTTATAAATATTATCAAAAACCATGCTATTTTCTTGCCTATACCTATTGTCTCAGGTTGCTATTTTAACATTCCATCATGGAAGTATTGAATCTTGCTACGTAAATGTGAGCCTATCCTTTTATTTTCTCCTACAGGTAAGTCTTTCAGATTCTTTGAAGATATGCATTCTTAAAAATGGCTTGTCTGTATTATTCTAAAATTATAAAGCAAACAAAACACTAAATTAAATTATAGCAAAGCTAATGGTGACTTATCATTTGGGCATACTTCTCCCATCCTTTTATATAATTTAATTGGGCTGTAAAATGTTTAAAATGTAAATACCATTAATAATCAAAAGTAATTATGTGGCAGTATGTAATTTAAAGTTATGTTTATAAATAAATATTAATAATTGCCATCACATAAATACCATAATAAAATAGCCAAATAACTAAGTAATTTATCTTTCTATTACACTATTCAGATCACTCAACCCTATAAATCTCAACTGCAATAATTTTTACAGCAGACATAATAAAAAGAATGAAAATGAACCAATAAAGTAGAAATTAAAATGTGATTTGGGGGTATAGAAAAGCCTTGAACAATTGATTTTCCATCTCTATAGGAATGGAATCTTGATAACATCCCACGATATCACAATTTCTTTTCTACTACCTACTTATATTCATGAGACTATACATATGTGCTGTATATATTTTCAATATTTACAGAATATATACGCACATACACACACATAGTTTGTTTTGTTCTTAGGCTCATTCATGAACATGCAGATCAATCTGCACAGTATGATCAATACATGTTTATTTGCCTTAAATGATATTTACAACTTTTCACTCTTGTGCAAAAATGCAAAAATATCATACAGATTAGTGTTCTCTCTCTAAAAAAAATCTTTTTTATGGTTTACATTGTTTTGTCATTTACAAATAAATTATGAAATATAGTTCATTCACAAGTTGAAAATAATAACAATGTTTTTACAACAAGGCATTGCTGAGGTTTTGAATCATGGCTTTCTTGAAGCCACTGTCTTTCAAAACAAAGACGTCAACAGTTATTGTTATTTATGATACTTGCACTTTTTTGAATACTTATATGAGATAGGTGATAACAAATCTAACACTCATGCTAGTCAAATAATGTTTGTATAGAAGAGGAATCTTTCAGTTTTATCTTTTCCTTCCCCCCCCCCCCGAAAAGTCTTTTTTAGGACCATCTATATTAGAACATTTCTGAAAAGTTTCCCCCTAATAAAAAAAAAAAAAAATCTGAAGACACAAGTGAGGCAAAATAGAGAAAGAATGATTTTAGTGGGTGCTCAGGAGAGATAACAGCAAACGCAAGAACTGTTTCAGTTTTATCTCCTAGTCCTTTGGTATTTCCTTGCCTCGTGAAAATCCTAAAAAAATTGTTCAGTCCTTTAAAACATTAATTATACTCTTCCATTAAATATCAGGTGTGGTCCTCCATTGCTCATGTTGTCTGTCATTTCCTGTTAGGAAAATAACATGAATTAATTAACATTTCTTTCAGAGTAAGACATTTATTTGGTTAATGGGTTTGCAAAACAGACATTTCAAGCCATTGAAAAACTTGCTGAGTTTTGGGGAAGGTCAATGATTAATACTGGTGTTGCGTTTGAGGAAATGAAATTTCATGGCATCTCAGGCACATGAAATTGCTGAAGTGACAGTCTCTGAGACCAAAGTCTTCTGCCTTTATGAACAATTCATTCTCTCCCCAGTCCCAATTGATTCCCCATCGGTTCCTTAACTGTCTTTTGGGAAGACCTACCTAAAAAGAAGAAGATGGTTATATGCCCAAGTTTCTCCAAGGCAGGCTCCTTGGCTAAGCATGTCAACAAAGGGCCAAGTGTGTGGCCTTTTTGCTAAGAACTGAAAAAGGCCCCCGAGGGGCTGATGCTTAATTGTAACTATAAATCACGGTGGAAAGAGTAGTTTTCCCAACACTGTTACTCATACAGTTAAAAAAATAAATAAAATTCTTAATATGTTTTTAAGGGATATGTTTAAATTAATAAGGAAAACTAAATGGGAAGGCAATAAAATTTAAGTATAAAAGATAACCCAATATAGTAAGCTCCATTTGCAGTGATAGGAAATAAATTAATTTAAGAAAAATTTAGAAGCTTTCCATTTGTGTTTTATTAAACATTAAACTCTTCCCTACACAATAGAAGGTAGCAAGGAGATGTGTGGCCCATTCACATTTATAAGTGCACCAGATTATAAATAATTTGGCAAAACTATGTAAAAGTAGATGACAACATCTTCCCTCTTTTGAACAAGACTATTTAATAATTCAAATGGAAATTATTTTCTCAATGATTTCATGACTATCAGTTTATATCAACTTACGGTGTGGATGAATGAACAATTACAAAGTAAAGCGTTTGCTGTTATAAACTTTAGAAACTCTTCCAAATACTTATTTGAAAACGAAAAGTCATCCATACCTCATTTTTAGCCTTTGTCTCTTTGAAAATTCAATACAGAAGGTAAAAGAGTGAACAGGCTTGCTTTTTCGGATTGGGTGGTTTGGAAAGTTGCTTTGGAGGAGCAATGAGGGACTTGAAGTTAGGAATCAGTCTGGTGTTTGAATCTTACTTTTGAAAACTTTGGTCTTTTAGAGGATGGGTAGAGTTTCTTCCAAGAAGATTGTGGGAAAGGAGACACTAGGCACTTTTCCTCTCACATCAATAAGACCTGTCTTGCCAAAACCTGTTTGGCTCAGTGGATATAGTGTCAGCCTGTGGACTGGAAGGTCCCAGGTTTGATTCCGGTCAATGGCATGTACATTGGTTGCGGGCATATCCCCAGTAGGGGGTGTGCAAGAGGCAGTTGATCGATGATTCTCTCTCATTGATGTTTCTAACTCTCTATCCTTCTCTTTTAAAAATAAAAATAAAAATATATATTAGAAGAAGAAGAAGAAGAAGAAGACGACGACGACCTGTCTTTGTATGCTATGTGCCCTGACCCCGTCCAAGCTCTAGGGGGTTAATTGTCTTGTTCCTGGGCAGCCATTATGTCTTCCCTGGTAAGATGGCAATAAATTACTAGAAATAAAGAAAAAAACAAACAAGCTGAAAACTCAAACCCATTCAGATAAAGCTATGATGGGAAATGTAGAACATCCTTTGAGCCAGCAGCTAGCCTCAATGGTCTGGTGATGGTTCAGCTCACTGAGGGGCTGGCTCTGTTAGTGATATATGAGGTGGAAGTAGTCTAAAAATACACTGAGATTATTGAGCTGTGGTTAAGTTAGTAGATAAGAAACTTGACTTGAGGCTTCATTCAAGAACTCAGTGTTGGTGGCAAGATAAGTAGAACGAATCTCTCCAAAACAAAACAATCTTTAACAAAATTCACTCATACACCTTTTTCTGCTTTTCTTACTAGAACAAAAATACAATTTCCTAATGAATTTATAAGAAATAAGTTCCTTAGATTTCTTTTCTTCTAAGATGCTTTAAGAATATAGCTTCAAAACTATTTACAAATTTAATCTAATGTATAATCTTTTATTGCAGGATTTAAAAAATCCAGTTTTTAGAAATATTACCAAAAAAAAAAAAAGAATTTCCTTAACTAAATTCATCCTAATACAGATACAATAAAATTAGCAATAAAAAATAACAGTGAAAATCAGTTTTTAACTGGATGAGTATCTTTAGGTTATTTGCAAGTGGGCACATCCAACTTAACGAGATTATACTCTAACTTTGGGCCTGACCAAATGGGAGTATTTGCAACTGGACATAGTACGTCTACAGTTGGACCACGGTATCTGTGTGACCGCCTGTAGTTCCAATTCTGCTGTTTAACCAAACCAAGAATGGAGACTACTCTCAGCAATCCAAATGAAGGGAGCTAAATTTGAAATGCATCACATCAGATAATTTTACAAGAAGAAAGTTTCCCTACAGAATTGTTACTGTCTTAGTGCTAGGCTTATCTGCTCATGCAGATGCAGTCTGTCTTTATCAGATCCATCTATGATTAAAAACAAAACTCTGGTCTGTGAAGGATGAGACTGAGTCGGAATCATGATGTAGCAGAGAATAGAGTCAGGAATCATCCAAGCAGAGAGGTGTTTGGATGCTTAGAGGAGGCTGAATATTTTAAATACTCAACCAAGTTTCAAGCTGCAAAACTCGGCCATGTAGGTTTTGGCAGGTCCTCAAAGTCGCTCTCATGAAAGCAGGACTTTGAGGAACCACATCCAGCATCAGTCGAGGCTGATCTGCTGACACCATGGCTTCCTGGAAGAGGCAGCACTTTGGGCAGTGACATTACAACATGGCAACTCCCTAGAAATTTGCGTACCTTGTAGGTAACTCTGGTGTCGGGGGCACCACCGGGCAGCTGGGCAAGTCGGTTATTTCAATAGCCCTCAATCTCTAATATAAATATAACAATTATACAGTAAATATTGCACACACATTTACACAAAAAAAGACATCACACTAGCATAACAAATAGAGCATGATATACCCTCTATTAAACATATAATAATAATCTACTTTGAACAACCCATTTCTGTAAATGACCAATTTTACTATTAACTCTTTTTTCAAGGACACTTGTAAATCTGTTTAAAATTGCTTTCTTGAAACAATTTAAGAGCATTCATTCTGTTTACTGAGACGTATACAAAATTGAAACACATAAAACTAAGAATAAATACTTTTCCTTCAAAACAACATCATATAGAAACACCTGGCACTAATTCTTGCTGTTCTTTCCTCTGTTCTGTGGTAATGCAGTTTTATTTCCCTGATCTCAAGTAAATTATGATGTAGCTATTATCTTAGTGAGTTTATGTCACAGATACTTGACTTTTCCTTAATAAATCCAGTAGCAGGAAGTACATTTAAAAACATATGCAAATATAGTGGAAACACAGACAGCTCACTATATCATTTGTCCTTTTCTGTGGTAAATGTAACTTCCTGTTTGAATGGGTTTCATGAAACAATTATGCAAGGAACACTGATTAAAATACAGGCAAAGCTACCCAAATATGCATGACATGTAGACAAGAATTAAGTGAAGCTTTATGTGAATTGTAATTTCTGCACTGGTAGGCAAGGCTTTTTGTTGCCTTATTAAAAGGCCCCTTTATGCTTGAAAATCTAATTTACATAATCAAATGCATCTCCTTACAAGCACAAGGGTGGGCTAGAAAGGCGAATTCATCCGATTTCTAAAACTGGGGTTATTGAGTTGAGAGTGTACTTAGTGTTTTTCCTTAGTGTTTTTCCATCTTTATTAGGCATTTGTGTATTTTACGAACTCTTATTTTAGGAGCTGTGCTTTTGTATAGAGAGGCTACAAAAATTATGCTGGAAATAAGTGTACCCAGAATTGCAGAGGAAAAAAAGTAATACAATCCTATCCTTAGTCCAAAGGGACCTACATTTCACAAAATCTAGTTTCTCACTTTCTCATCTAAAGCAACGCGTCGGTTCACCTAGATTTGCCTGCAGTCTCCATCACATACCAGCCACGAGAGGAAAAGGGACGAGACTCACTTTCTCAGCCATCTCATGGGAGTGGTGCAGGGAGTGCTCCCTCTCCGAGAACATCCTCCTCTGTTCATAGCTGGCCAGCCGACAGGTGAGCCAGGAGGAGAGGGTGCAGCCCCCGATCCCTATGCATGCCAGGGACATGGAGGCCACATGCAGCGGGTACAGGGAAGAGGTCCTTCTGGTCACGGCCCGGAGGAACTGGAAGTTCAGGATGCCCCCTATGAGGCCACAGATGCAGCAGGCGGAAAAGAGGATCATCTGGCAAGAAGAAAGGAGCGTTAACGTCGAGGAAGGATGGTTGGACTGTTTGGTGCTTCCTACAGGACAGGAGCTGTGCTTTCCCCAAGATTCTATGTCATCAGACTGAAGGGAGAGGGCATAGACCACAGTGTTCCCAGAATGAAGTGCTGACTATACAGAAGCCAGGGATACATCTTAAGAAAACTCTGAGGTGAGCAGAATTGGTCTTCTAAGTAGATTCAGATTTAACTAATATTGATTTAATATCTACTATATGCTACTATGCGAGGTACTTGAACAGAAATCTCAATGAACCCATCCAGCAATCCTCTGAGAGAGGCAGGTAACAATCTTACTCAGGGTCTGAGCCCATATTTTCTGACTCCAATCCAGTTTCACTATGTGAAACCCCCTCGCCCCCCAACATATCTAAAGACATTTTCATTGAACTGCCACTAGGTCCACAGGCTTCAGATATTTATACTTCTTTAGTTTTGTGATGTGAGGGAATTTAGTTGACTATCCTATATAATAAAAGCCTGATATGCTAAGTATTCGGTTGTTCAACCAATCAAAGCATAATATGCTAATGATATGCTAAGGCTACTCAATCGCTGACCACTGCACTGACCACCGGGGAGCAGACAGTTGACCAACCAGTTGCTATGACATGCACTGACCACCAGGGGCAGATACTTTGACTGGTACATTAGCTTGCTGCTGGGGTCCGGCCAATCAGGATTGATTGAAAGAGGGTAGACATGCCCTCCTGTGGTTCCTCCCTGGCTGGCAACTTCCTGCATCCCTCCTTGGCCCTGATGGTGCACCAGAAGGGTTCCTTGGCCTGGCCTACTCCCTCTCGCAATCTGGGCTTAGGGTTCCCAGTGAATTTCATGCACTGGGCCCCTAATTTATAAAATGTTTATCCCTGTGAACTGACCCTTCATCTTGCAAATCTTGTGTTACCATGAGGTGCCACAGTGAAGCATACACAGTAGGTATTCCCATAATACACTTGGACTGGCTTCTTTGGGGAAACTCGGTATGTGGCTTTGTTTTGATCCTCCTATTGTCTTGATGTGGATCTCTATTAATAAAACCAAAGTGTTTTTTTGCTTGTTTGTTTGTTTTTATTCAAAGCAAATATCACAGGGTCTCTGGTAGAACTAAGTATAATTCCTGCTGTGTAACAAATGTTTTGTGAATATTTAATAAATTTAATAGAATATTCTAATAGCTTTAATAATTTTATTTTATTTTGCACAAGTATCTAGGGTTTTCATGATACCTTACAGTGTAATGCTAATTTAATTATCTAAACTTATCTCCATCATTCTTCTGGCACAGCATCTGTTCCAGTCACCTCTCTTATCCATCAATATAGCTTGTACATTCCTACCTCAACAATATGTTCATTTCCTGAAAATAACTTTACTTTTTTCTTTGGACTCTTAGATGGAAGGCCCAAAGCCTGTCCTAACTTTCTCAGAACATTTCCATGATTTTATTGATCTCCTCCTTTGGCATAAATCTTCAAGGCAGACAACTATACAACTGACCTGAGCATTTAATTATACAATATCAGGTATTTTGGCTGTTGACAGTTGAATCTAGCAAACACATGTTGAGCACCTAGCATCTGTTAGGTCTTGAGTGAAGTTGCAGTTGGCATTATAAAAAAGAACAGCTCATAGTTATTCCACTTGAGTACATTGCAGTCTTGGAGAAGATCCAACATTTCCAAGAGGACATGTGAAGAGAGGTGAATGGGTTGCCCTCAGAATAGGGAGCAGGGGAATTCAGTCTAACTGGTGGTTTCAGACAAGTCTTCCCTGACCATATGTCACCTAAGCTAAGTGCATGCAGTTCCCAGTAAGGGGTAAGGCTATGGATGCAAGAACTAGCACAATAAAATAGCATAATAGAGAGAAAGAACTACAAGTAGGTTTTTTTTTTTTAACTTCTCTAACTTTATTCAGCACTCCTTATTGTTTGTCTCATGGTATTCATCATCAAGGCTAAAAATCTAGTGATGAATAAGTAAAATATTTTTATAGCGATTAAATGTAATACTAGGTATCAATTACCAAATAATTGAATCATCCCAAGTGGGAACCTGTAGCTCCTTCTGGTAGAATCAACCAGTTATATTCCATTTTAAAGTATATTCAGGAAATGTAGTTTCTGGAGAATATATTTTGGTGTCTAGTCATTCTCAGAAAATATGAAAAGAATTAAATGTTAGCTTTTTATTAAGTCATTACTGTTCATTAAGAAAATGGCCTATTCAATTGACTATAAGAGGAAAATATATTTCTTCTGATTTTTTTTTTGTAATTCTTTAAAGGCAGCAGACTTTATTAACAGGTGCAGATAGAGCATTCTCACCTAGAAATTAAAATGTAAAATCTACACCCAAATATATGCATATTTGCATATTATGTATTTGGTTAATCTCTTCCTGTCCCCTGGCCCTGCTTCCTCTGAGATTCAACAGTCTGTTCCATGGATCTATTTTGTTCGTCAGTATATTTTTGTCAGAGTAGGGAGCAGGGAATTTAGCCCAACCAATGGTTTCAGACAAGACTTCCTTGACATGAGTGAGATCATGTGACACTTGTCTTTCTCTGACTGGCTTATTTTATTTAGCATAATACCACTCTTCAGATCGCACATGTCTAAGCAATGGGGCCTTCATCCTTTTTGTCACAATTGACATTCTCACAAAGATGTGATTAGAAAAGGAGATAAACAAAATAGCTGTACTGCTCCCCATTCCCTCCTTTCCTCCGATAATTGGTCTCCGCTTGGAAACCCTTTTTAGGCTCAAAGATCACTTCCTCGGGTCCATGTATATTATTCATTTTGCCAAGCTTTAAAAGTGTATTTTCCTATTGTACTCAATAAAGTAAACCATGCCTTTTCCTTCTTTCCAAACTCTCATAAAATGCAGGGAAGCCACATTGGAGCACGCAGAAGCTGTCGTCCAGCCAACATGGGAGTTAACTGGGAGCATGCTGCATACCCCGAAGCCCAGGGTAGTTCCATAAAGCATCTGAAAACACTTACATTTGCATTCACAGTAATAAAGAAATAAAATACAACATCTCTGTGAATTAACTGTCACTAGAACAACACAGCTGTTTTGCTGCTTTGTAAAATTAACTTGACAGTCAAACAAAGCCAGCAATCCGTAGGCCCAGGTCCATGTTTAAACAGTTAAATCTCCCATAAACTCAAGTTATGCCTTTTTCAGTTTACTGAAGGATTCATGCGAATGTTTAGGAGTCTATACACTGGAAAAGTGGATACTGTCATCCACAGAAGTCATGAAGGCTGCATATTCATGCATTTACAGAGTATATCAAAGCCTTTCTTTTTCTCTCTTTCCTTCTTTCTTGCTTATAATTTGTAATAATCTTTTTTTAATCCTTAAGCAAAAATATTTTTCCATTGATCCCTAGATAGAATGGAAGAGAGAGGGAAAGACAGAGAGAAATATTGATGTGAAAGAAACACCTCGACTGGCTGCCTCCTGCATGAGCCCCGACCAGGGCTTGGGTCTGGCCCCACTGGAATTGAACCTTGGACCCTTCGGTCCACAGGCTGACACTCTATCCACTGAGCAAAGTGGCTGGGGCGCTAATAATTTTGATGGTTTTCTTTGAAGATAAAAAAAGCCAGGATTTATTTGTCAGTCTTTTTTCTACCCTAAATGAGTCACATTCAACATATGAAAGTTGACTAGTCACCATTTCCATTTCTGTGTTCTGACATTTCAAATACTTCAATGCACAACGCAAACAAGGCAGAAACTTACGATAAGTCCAGACTTTTTTTTGGCGCACAATATTCCACATATGCCACAAAGAAGAAACTGAAAGGGAAAAGAACAACAATCATTTCACATCCAAAGATAAAAGAACGCCTAGTTTTTAGCTTGTAGTTCACTCATGACATTTGCTCCAGGGAAGCTGGAAAAATTTATGCTCTCATTAAGCTGAAGAGGAACATCCTCCATTCCAGAATAGGAAGAAATAAAAGTGTAAGCGCTAATGAAAGTTTGTTTTTGCCAGGTTGATATGGGTAACTGTGGGATCTAAGCAAAACTTGAATCAATTTTACCACCAGTCAAAATTCGGAAGCAAATGAATGTAGACTTGTTCCTCCTGTGTCCATTCATCGTCGTCTTGTCCTTTCCCACTTTCTCAGGGAGAACAGTGGTGTGACACAATCATTCCTACTAAGCAATCAGAAACCAATGGGCTATCCTAGCACTAATGAGAAGATAAGGCATTGGACAGGGACATGTTTTTCTACAGAGACATTCTTTATACCTCTCAGGTAAAATGGCTACCCCCTCCTTCTGCCAGAAATACTGTCCTTGGAGATACATCAGAAGAACACAGGGGATGAAGCTACAATAGTTCCCCCATCCACTGGGGACACATTCCAAGACCCCCATGGATTCCTAAAACCACAGAGTACCAAATCCTATATGTACACTTCATTTTGTCCTATTCATACATACCCATGATAAAGTTTCACTAATAAATCAGGCACAGTAATTAATTTATAACTAATAATAGAAGAAACAATTATAATAATACTAGAGGCCCAGTGCACAAATTTGTGCACTGGTGAGGTTTGGAACCTTGCCCTAATCAAGGTATTTAATCTACACCTTATTAGGAATTTCCTAATAAGGTGTAGATTAAGCTTATAATCATTTAATTTTGGAATGTTTCCACATTCCACTTAATATTTTCAGACAACAGTTTTCTATAGGTAACTGAAAGAGCATAAAGCAAAACCATAGGTAAGGGGGAAATATTATATTGATGGCATCTAATTTCTTGTAAGAAAATACGTGGGTGACGTATTTGCTTGGCAAAATTAATTGCATCAACTTACCTATCAATGATAGTTGTCAAAAAACAGTAAATTGTTTAAGTTATATAGAAACAGGGCCATTTAAATGCACATTTATACATAATTCTGGTTGAGAGGAACCCATGTAATAAAATAATCATTCATTAATAAATAGTAAGCTTACTAAGGGCTTTCAGATTAGCAAAGAAAACTTTGAGTTGTTTTAAGACAGCTCATTGAATTTTCCCCCCACATAATGTTTACCCACCCCAGATGAAACAATTTTCACTGAAATTTACTTCTATAGAAATACACTCATTGGTGAATAGAAACAGGCTTACATTTTTCTCCTCAAGATAATGAACTGAATTTCAAAGTGAGCTTTAAAACGCTAATAACCTTTAAAGATTTTTATATGATTTTATCAAAACAAATCAATTTTTTTAAAGAAGCATTATGCTAAGTGAAATAAGCCAGTCAGAGAAAGGTAAGTACCACATGATCTCACTTATTTGTGGAATATAATGAACAACATATCGATCAGACCGTCAAACCTCAGAGGGAAGGTAGGGGAGAGTGGGAGGTAAGGGGGAGAGATCAACCAAAGGACTTGTATGCATGCATGTAAGTCTAACCAATGGACATAGACAACAGGGGGATAGGGCATGAATGTGGGACATGGAGGGGCAATGGGGGGGATAAGGACACATATGTAATACCTTAATCAATAAAGGGAGAAAATGTAGAAAAAATAATAGGAAAACACAGACAAATGTTAAATGTTGACTAATTGATATGGGAGAAATCTGTCTTTGGTTCAATAGTGCATTTTCCTTGTGTCTGGATTAAAAGTTTGGTGATTTACTTTGCTACCACCAATTCTTGGATGTTTTTATTCTACTTCAGTCACCAGTTAAAGAATGACAACTGGACTCTTTTAAAAGTGTTATTTTGTAGTTTAGTTCACAAAATGCCAGTGTGCTGAGCAATTCTTTTTTTTTTTTTTTTTTTTTTTTTTAATACTGTGTTAATAGGATTATGATTTTCTTAGAGGACACTCTGGCTAGACATCTAAGGCTGTCTTCTAGGCCACCAGCTTCCTTCCATTTGGGACCCCATGTCTCTAGTGATTCCAATATAAATTACCTGTGTAAAATGGGGAAAGTTTATTAAGTTGGCAAGCCTGCCTGATGGCAGTGATTCTTGGCTGTGTATTAGCGTTTAAAATTCCTGATACCTTGACTAGCAATTAAAAACCAGAATTTCCAGGTTGGGATTCAGGCATCAGTATTTTTAAAATCTCTCCAGTATTTTAAAACTTCAATGTGTTCTTAACATCCAGAACTGCATGCAGGGTGCCAGCCAGTGCTTTATCAGCAGAACTGCTCACTTTAGAGCTCATCGCTGAGGCACCAATGTTCCCCTTAATTACTCTCAGGAAGATATGGAGGGACACAAAGCTACATAAAGTGCTCTTCAAGGGAGAAACATCAAGTGCTTGTTTATGACGTAAGGTCAGAGTGTCAAGACTGTTTGGTCTCTAATGGATCTTAAAAATAGAGATCCTTTTTTCATTATCTTTTGACTTATTCTACCCAGTGCCTTTCTTTCATTATTGCAAACATATTTTCTCCCTATTTTCTTCAATTTTTAGTTAACTAGACCTAGAATTGGTCAAGACACACTATTATCTGGAAGAATCTGACTAAATTTATATTGGGAATTGAGAAAATAGGCATAAAAAGTCACATATACAAATAATCATCATTGTAAAAAGTATAGGAAAGTAATAGATTGAAATGAAACAAGATCAATGTCAAGAAAATAGCAATTGAATTAAAATATGGGCAAAAGGTCTGAACAGACTTGACTAAACAACATTTGCTAATGTCAAGTAAAAGTAGGAAAAAACATTCAACGTCATTTGTCATGAAAAATTATGGATTTAAACAACAATGAAGTGCACTACCCACCAATTAATTGGCTAGAATACAATAAAACAACAACAAACAAATTGGTGATATCAATTGCTGGTGGTGTAGAGTGACAGGAATTTTCATTCCTTGCTTGTAGGAGTGGAAAATGGTGCAGTTATTTTGGAAGTCAGTATAATATATATGCAATATTCATATGTTGCTAAATAAAAAAACAGCAGTCTTTATAATGTATGATTCCAATTGTATGGCATTCTGAAAAAAAGTGAACAATAGGGACAGTGAAAATATCAGTAGTTTCTAGGGTTTGGGAAAGGTAGAAAGAGTTGAATAGATCAATAGAGGACATTTTTTAAGACAGCAGGACTATTCTATATTATACTGTAATTGTAGACACATGATACTATTGTTAAAACCCATAGAAATGTACAACACAAAGAATAAACCCTAATGTATGCACATTTAAAAATTATTTAGGGGGTCAGGGGAATCCCATGATAGAAAGCTGAATATGATGACAAATCTAACTGTATAACAAATGTATAAAGTACTTTCACTGAAGGAGATGGGAGAAAAGATACTGGTCTAAGTAACTTTGGAAATGAGTGGAGTCTGTAAGACTAAAGGCAGAAGAACATGTGATAAAGCTCCCTATACACTGATCTGGAAAGTTCTCCAACCTCTCTGGTTAAGTGAAAAAAATAAGCTGTAGAACTGTGTGCAAAGAAAGTGACATTTTGTGTAAAAATGCAAGAAAGATGTTAATTTACATACATATTTACTCTTACATGCATAAAGTAACTCTAGAAAAATATAAGGAATAAAGAGCTGTGATAACCTTGTTTGGAGAAATGCTGGAAGCTGAATGAAGTGGCTAAATTTTCATCGAATACTTTTGGTAATTTATGTTTGAGCCATGTATAAGTGTTACTACTCAATAAGTTCAATGAGTAGCCTTCTATTTGTTCAAGACAAAACTATTTTTGAGGTATTAGGAAACAATTGCCCATCATAATTCATCCTTACTAGTGAATGACTCCCAGCCTTGGGTATAGGCAGGCAAGATAATGGCCTTAGGGTTGAGAATGAAGAAACACCAGCAGAACTCTTTGACTCCAAAGTACAGGCTACAGTCATCTGGACACATTCTGAAAACGTATAGATTGGTGAAAGACTCAAAGTTCTATACTCCTTTATGGGTAATTTACAAAGAAAAAAATGAATGAAAATTCCCTAAACTATATGTTTTAAAAATATTTTTAATCTGTATGTTTTAAAAATATTTTTATGAATTTTAGAGAGGAAGGGAGAGGGAAAAGGATATATAAACATCAACAATGAGAGATAATAATTGATCGGCATCCACTGGGGATGGAGCCTGCAACCCAGGCATGTGCCCTGATTGGGAATGGAACCGTGTCTTCCTGGTTCAACCACCGAGCAACACTGGCTGAGTATCTGTTTTTAGAATGTGTCTTTGGAAAGGAGGTTGGCCGGCCATATTTTGGGGTCTAGGAGCTCTGCTTAGATTTCTTCAATTTCAACATGTAAGGAAGCCTTGTCTGCTTTTACACAGATTGGTTTTGCATGTTTGATGGAATCGAATTTGGAACCTGCTAGGGGCAGAACTTGCAGGCACAAATCCAAAAGTGCCAGAGAAATTTACAAGAATTTGAGGTCATCCTTCTGAAATAAACAGAGCTTATCATGGTGAATTGAGATTGAAAGCTGAATGTGGATTATTCTGAGTTAAATATGACAAATCATAAACCACTGCATATTAAAGTAGATGTGGCTTCATCTTCCATGACCAACATACTTTATCTTTATTCAGATGAGATTTTGTAATTCTATACATTCATGATAGTAGTGGAAATAAAGGTGTTCTTGTCCAAAGCATTTTAAATCCCTCAACTCTCTAGAAAAAAATAAATGGACTGAAAAAGGAAATTTTACTCCATCATGAGCAAATCAATGAAGAAAATACATTTTGGAGCAAAGAAGCAGTTTTGAACCTCATATTACACAAAAATACAATTGAATGTATTATTTCATTTGCCATTATTGGTAT